GTGGCGACAGTTTCACAGATCGCAGCTTCCCAGGGATGGCGAGGTCGAATTTGAATCCGCCAGTGGCGTCACTATGCTGGGCCCTCCAGCAAACCTCGAAAATGGCAACAGTTTCACAGATCGCAGCCCCCCCAGGGATGGCGAGGTCTAATTTGAATCCGCGCGTCGCCCTCACTGTGCTGGCCCCCCAGCAGGCCTCGAACATGACGACAGTTTCACAGATCACAGCCCCTCCCAGGGATGGCGAGGTCTAATTTGAATCTGCGCGGTGCCCTCACTGTGCTGGGCCCCCCAGCAGGCCTCGAAAGTGGCGACAGTTTCACAGATCGCAGCCACCCGCAGGGATGGCGAGGTCGAATTTGAATCTGCGCGTCGCCCTCACTGTGCTGAGCCCCCCAGCAGGCCTCGAAAATGGCGACAGCTTCACAGATCGCAGCCCCCCCAGGGATGGCGAGGTCGAATTTGAATCTGCGCGGGGCCCTCACTTTGCTGGGCCCCCCAGCAGGCCTCGAAAATGGTGGAAGTTTCACAGATCGCAGCCCCCCCCAGGGATGGCGAGGTCTAATTTGAATCTGCGCGGGGCGTCACTTTGCTGGGCCCCCCAGCAGGCCTCGAAAATGGCGGCAGTTTCACGGATCGCAGCCCCCCCAGGGATGGCGAAATCGAATTTGAATCTGCGCGGGGCCCTCACTGTGCTGGGCCCCCCAGCAGGCCTCGAAAATGGCGACAGTTTCACAGATCGCAGCCCCCCCAGGGATGGCGAGGTCTAATTTGAATCCGCGCGGGGCCCTCACTGTGCTGGGCCCCCCAGCAGGCCTCGAAAATCGCAACAGTTTCACAGATCGCAGCCCCCCGCAGGCAAGACAGGAAGAGGCAGGGAGGGAGGGGGAGGAGGAAGGAAGGAGTGGAGACCACACTGCTTTATTCAAAACGAATACCCAACCAAGGAGAGTTGGGAATTACCCTGTGACGTACCCAACCCATTTGTATCATGGGGAACGAGGAATTGGCCGAAACTTGCACGGACAATCAAATTGCAGGATCCGTTGTTTGATATGTAAGATACTTGAGACACGCGCCAATGGAATGATGCGCAGGAGAACAATACGAGAACGAGGGGCGACAACTACAAGCTCGAAGAGGACATGGGGAGCCGGGAACGAAGAGCAGGAGAAAGACGCGCGGGAAACCCGCTGTGCTGGGCCCCCCAGCAGGCCTCGAAAGCGGCGACAGTTTCACAGATCGCAACCCCCCAGGGATGGTGAGGTCCCATTTGGATCCGCCGTGGGTACCCACTGTGCTGGGCCCCCCAGCAGGCCTCGAAAGTGGCGACAGTTTCGCAGATCGCAGCCCCCCAGGGATGGCGAGGTCCCATTTGAACCCGCCGTGGGTACCCACTGTGCTGGGCCCCCCAGCAGGCCTCGAAAGGGGCGACAATTTCACAGATCGCAGCCCCCCAGGGATGGCGAGGTCTAATTTGAATCCGCCGTGGGTACCCACTGTGCTGGGCCCCCCCAGCAGGCCTCGAAAATGGCGGCAGTTTCGCAGATCGCAGCCCCCCCCAGGGATGGCGAGGTCTAATTTGAAGCCGCCGTGGGTACCCACTGTGCTGGGCCCCCGGCAGCCTTCGAAAGTAACGACAGTTTCGCAGATCGCAGCCCCACCAGGGATGGCGAGGTCTAATTTGAATCCGCTGCGGGTGCACACTGTGCTGGGCCCCCAGCAGGCCTCGAAAGTGGCGACAGTTTCGCAGATCGCAGCCCCCCCAGGGATGGCGAGGTCTAGTGTGAATCCGCCCGTGGGTGCCCACTGTGCTGGGCCCCCCAGCAGGCCTCGAAAGTGGCGACAGTTTCACAGGTCGCAGCCCCCCAGGGATGGCGAGGTCGAATTTGAATCCGCCGCGGGTGCCCACTGTGCTGGGTCCCCCAGCAGCCATCGAAAGTGGCGACAGTTTCGCAGATCGCAGCCCCCCAGGGATGGCGATGTTTAATTTGAATCCGCCGCGGGGGCACACTGTGCTGGGCCCCCCAGCAGCCCTCGAAAGTGGCGGCAATTTCGCAAATCGCAGCCCCCCAGGGATGGCGAGGTCTAATTTGAATCCGCCGCGGGTGCCCACTGTGCTGGGCCCCCCAGCAGGCCTCGAAAGTGGCGACAGTTTCGCAGATCGCAGCCCCACAAGGATGGCGAGGTTTAATTTGAATCCGCCGCGGGTGCACACTGTGCTGGGCCCCCCAGCAGCCCTCGAAAGTGGCGGCAATTTCGCAGATCGCAGCCCCCCCAGGGATGGCGAGGTCTAGTCTGAATCCGCAGCGGGTGCACACTGTGCTGGGCCCCCCAGCAGCCCTCGAAAGTGGCGACAGTTTCACAGATCGCAACCCTCCAGGGATGGCGAGGTCTAGTTTGAATCCGCCGCGGGTGCAGACTGTGCTGGGCCCCCCAGCAGCCCACACAAGTGGCGACAGTTTCGCAGATCGCAGCCCCCCAGGGACGGCGAGGTCTAATTTGATTCCGCCGCGGGTGCACACTGTGCTGGGCCCCCCAGCAGGCTTCGAAAGTGGCGACAGTTTCACAGATCGCAGCCCCCCAGCTGGCACGCAGCGACGAGCGAGGCGAAAGGCAAGGGGGAAGAGAGGGGCGGGAGGGGACGGGAAGGAAGGAAGGAAGAAAGTAAGGAAGGCGACGCGCGAGCAGCGCTCTATTCAAAACGAGAACCCAACGCAGGAGGGTTGGGAAAAACGAAATGAAGTGCACACGCGCGCGTCGTCGCGCGCGTATGCCGAAAACCTTCAAAACCAATAGGTTTCGGAAGGGTTTCAAAATCGCGTCCGAAAAACACACCAACACACGGGGTTTCGCAACACGGATTTTCAACAAAAGCGTGCGCGCGCGCTCTCTTGCGTCGTCGTCGTCGTCGTCGCCGTCCTCCCTCCCCCCGCGTCGTCGTCGTCCGTCGTCGGCTACGTCGTCCTGTCTTTCCTCGTGTTCGTCGTCGTCGTCCTCTTTGGCGTCGTCGTCGTCGTTGTCGCTGTGGTCGTCCTTCCTCCTCCTCCCTCGTCGTCGTCGTCGTCCGTCGTCGGCGTCTCGTCGTCGTCCCTCCTATTTCGTCGCGTCGTCGTCGTCGTCGTCGTTGTCGTCGTCGTCGTCTTCCCTCCTCCCTCGTCGTTGCTGTCGTCGGCGTCGCCGTCCTTCCTCCTTCTTCGTCGTTCGCGTCGTCGCCGTCCTCCCTCCTCCCTCATCGTTGTCGTCGTTGTCGTCGTTGTCGCCGTCGTCGTCCTCCCTCCTCCCTCGTCGTCGTCTTCGTTAGCGACGTCGTGGTCGTCTTCGTCGTCGTCGTCGGCGTCGGCGTCGTTGTCGTCGTCGTCGAAGTCGTCGGAGACGTCGTCGGTGTCGTCGTAGTCGTTGTCGTCGGTGTCGTCGTAGTCGGTCTTGGGAGGTTTTGCAAGCCAAGTTGCGGGTGGGTGGGTGGGATGTTTGCAAGAGCGTGGGATATGCCAAATCATACGTAAAAGTCAACTTCATCACACATAGACTTCACAACAAACGTTGCACCACATAGACTGCACCACATACGTTGAACTGCATATGTTGCACCGTGTATGTTGTGCAACACATAGATGGCACTGCACATGTCGCACAATACAGTTTATGTGTATATATATATATATATAGTGCACAACACTTGCACCACATAAATTGGACAACGTACAGTGCACCACATGTATATACGTGTGTATGGATATATGTGTATACATCTGTGAAAGTGAATTCAATATACGTAGATACATATAGATACACGTATATGTGTATACATAGTTATGTGCACCACTTAGACACTTAGAAGCACACTGTTTGGGGCCCACGCTGGCTAACATCTCGTTGCGAAAGAATCCAGAGACACACCTATCCCGAGGTGCCCCTGGACTTCTATTGGTCCCTGGACGTAGGAATATACGAAGGTTCCATGGGGCAACTGCTGGCAGACCACTGACTTGTCCGTTTTGTGCATTGGCGTGCCTACAGTATCTGGATCGATGTCCGATATCTTTTAGCAGAGGTCGTTCAAGGTTGGTCCAATTCAAGCCACCAGTGGCTTTTAAGCTTCACAGCCCGCACTGGCGTCGTCGCCGCGCCGATGCGGCGCGAAGCTGCCCCAGATCCCTCCCAGGGTCCACTCTGGCCAGTTCTTTGAAATGCGCCCAGCCGTGGCGACGAGAGCTTCCGACGCGAAGTCATCGTCGTCGCCCCGATGCCGCGATTTAATTCGCAACCTCGGCCTGTACCCCCATGAAGCTTTGAGGTGTGAACACCTTCCCCCAGGACCGGCTCTTCATACTGAGTAGTTGGCTTTATGACGGCCCAAGTGCTGGGCAAGGGACCCGCGAGCCCGAATATAGCCAAGAACCGCTCGTGCGGATTCTCTTACGATCGGGGAGACGTAAGACTCGAGTTTGGGAGACTCGAGCTGGACTGACGGGGCAGTCAGAAGAATGACGGGGCCCACTCTAAAATCTGACGAGAACCCCCGCTGCACGCGTGTCACGAAAGCTGGGCCGCCAAAATTCATGCCAGAACCGCTTGGCCAAGCTGAGCTCGGGTTTCCGGCAAACTGAGAGTTCCACTTCCCCGGTGCGACGACAGTAGGGAGGCCACAAATAGCGTACGCGCCCAACCACGTACATGAATACGGACCCACAGTCCACGGGATCAGCCTCGTGATACGAACGTTCGCGCAATGCGTACTTTCGAACACAACCTGGACGTATGTACTTGCACTGGCGGAACCCAAAAGTACCGCTACCGCTACTCCCTGGACCTCTCCCAGGGTGCGTTCTGACTACCATTCTGGAGCGCATCCAGCGGTGGCGACGAGGGCCTCCCGGGAGGCCCCCCAAACACGAAAGCGAGGGGAGGGCAGCGGTATGGGTATACATGCTCCTCCTCCGGTGTACGTCGTTCGCTCCGGAGCCACTGGGGGGTCTGGGACGCTCGTCCCCGCGAGCCTGCCGCCCCTCATGGCGCCGCGGGCACGCGCCGGGCGGTTGGCGGCGGGATCGGCGGCAGCGCCCGCGCGGGGCCGTTTGCTCCGACTGCCCGCCGACGGCCAGAGGGCGAAGGAGCAGCGCCGCCCTCCTGCGCTGCGGGCGCGAGCGCGCAGACCGGCGACTCCGACAGGCGCGGCTCGCAGGGGCTGTGGTCTGCAACCCGCACCGGGTGGGGGCGGGCGGGGGCCTCGACGGGATTCTCCGCCGCGTTCCGAAGACGCCCGGCGAGGGCAGCGTGGCGCCCCCCGGGGCCCAACGACGAAGATCGCAAGCCACACCCCAGCGCCACCACACCCTTTGTAGTTGCCGACCAGAAGGCATCGGTACACCACCATTTGGGCAGACCTCGTCCAGGATTAAGAAAAATGCGGGCCCCTCTCCCGACTGCTCCGTGGGAGGACTTCGCCGTACCCAAACCCACTAACCCGCAGACCCACTCATTATCCAACGACCAAGGTCAGACTCATTCATACCCATACTTGCTCGCGCGCAAACTCATGGACGCGCGGCCACTCATACACAAGCTGGCGCACGCCAGGGCCCAATCGTTCCCAAATCGTCTCGCGCTCAGACACGTGTCTACTTCGCCGCTGACGGCCATACCCATTCGTATCCATATTCGTTCACACACGCGCGCCGTCCTCATGATCAGACCCCACTCATGCGTAGACACACTCATACTCAAGTTCTCATGCGGTCAAACGCGTGATCATTCACACTCACCTCCCCAGACTCACTCACGCCCAGACCCACGCAAACCCAGGCCCAGTCATATCCAATCTCGTTCGCGATCAACCCCAAACCACTCTCGGCCCGCGCTGGATCACTCAGAGACCCCCCCACCCAGGTGGGAACCGCCAAGGGCGCGCTCGGAACACGGTGGACCTCCAACCACTGGGGAGCCTGGCGCCTGTCTTTGCCGCTGAGGCCGTGGCGCTGGTGTTCCCGAGTTGCTAAAAGCTCGACATTGGAGTCTTGAAGAGCGCCCTCGGCGGTTCCCACCCGGAGAAGAACGCAACCCTACGTGTGCCATCGTCCTGACGTCCGTTCCCCATGCACGCCCCGGCTTCGTGCGAGATCTATCTGCCGGGTGATCCCAAGTGCTCCTCGACGCTTCTCGCCGAGGAAGAGCGCACACGTCCGACCGATGGCAGATGAGATGTCCCTCGTGTGCGTCGCCGCGCGCCCGGGTGCGCTCTCCCTCGGGGAGCGCGCGGCCGCCGACGGCGGTGCGGGAGAAGCGAGGGTCCGGGTCGAGGCTCCGGGCTCCGGGATCCTCGATCGACCTGGACCTGCGAGGCTGCACTTGGATCCGCGACTCCGGCCACGCGCAGCGGGGGTCACAGGGGAAGGGGGAAGGCTCTTGCTGAAGCACCCCTGCTCCTCAGAAGGCTCGGGCCTCATCTAATAGGTGTAGGGATGGCGTCTCCGAAAAAGCAACCACCTTCGACACAAACCTTCCCCCCTCCACCTACCCCCCCTCTGCGCGTTGCCGCGGATTTTCAAACCCTGGATGTTTTGAAGATCCAGGGTCGATTGAACTCCCCAAATTCAGATCTTCATCTTCGATCGACCCCCGATCGCGGATGGCGACCGACGTTCGCCACTGAATCCTGGGTCCTCGATCGATATTGGATCGGTCACCGCCACATGAAGGAAACCCAAATAACCCCATGCCATCCCCCGGAGGACTGCAGGACCCGAGCATGACCACAACGTGGCCCCAAGATGTCGCAAGCCCCGACCGCGGAAAAGGGGTGCACGCCACACAAAGGTGCCCACGAATCCAACGCTTTGGCGGGATTTCGTCCGTGCGCAGGGCGGGCGTTGCGTCGCTTGCGCTGCCAACGCGTCGCGTCCAGAGCAGCGGTTTCACGCCCGCGACAGAAACAATGCATTTTTTTTGTTCCACAGCGCGAACTCATTGCTCGATGTTTTATAGTCCTCAGTCAGACGGGTCAGGCCGTGCCCACGCACAGAAGAGGAAGAGGAAAGAGGGCGGACGAGGAGGAGGAGGAGGCGGAGGAGGAGGAGAAGAAGAAGAAGGGGCAAGGGCGCTGTGAGACGATCCCCTGCGGCCCAAACGGCCATTTATATAATGCAAAACAGCGCACAGCAGCTACCCAGGAAGGAGGAGCGAGGAGGGGAGAGAGGAACGCGAACGCCAGACAGCATCGGGCAGGGGCAGGCGCAGCGATAGAAAACGCGCCCACATTGTTACCGACTCCAAAGTGGCAGCGAGAGGAACCGCGCATAAGGGAGGAACGGGAAGAGGAGGACGAGGAAAGAGCAAGGGATGCGTCGCCGCCAACATTCCGACCGTCCATGCGCCGATTGCTTTTCTAAAAACCAACAGAAACGAAGGTGGTACACGCACGCACACCCCGCGCATATTCAAAGCGAAGCCAAGCCGAGGAAACGACCTCTTGTTTTTCCCTCGCACCATGGAAGTTTTCGCGCCGACCCCAGCGGGCAGAGCCCCCGCCGAACCGCGCCGCCGCCGCGGGACTGGCTGGCTCACCAGCCGCGAGGGCCACAGTCGCGAGCGGGCCAGATGTGGGTCTGGAGATGACGGGCGCAGAGCTGACCTTGGTCCGACCTCCCTGCAGCATGGGGGGGGCGGTATGGAGCATCGAGCACCGGCGAGCACCGAGAACCAGTGAGCACTGATCCACACGGCTCACACGTAGCGCGCCTGGCGCCCACCACGGTGAGCAGTAAGACGCCCACTGTGTGACCACTGCCGGTGCCCAGCATCGCTCCGGGGCAACAGCATGCAGGAAACACAACGCCCCGGGGGGGCGCTCAAACGACGTCGCAAACAAATTTCCCGACGGGGCAAGCGGCAGACACAACTGGCTCTGTAGCGGCCACATGGAAAAAGTAGTGGGCACCACAGCGGCTACACGCAACTATTAGTGATCACAGAGGGACAACCAATAGTCACACCAAAAAGCTGCAGATGCGCATCGCTGCAACAACGATATTCGAATCTGCGTCGTCACTCTGCGGCGTACGCAAGCGAAAAAAATCCTTCGTCCTGCCTCTTCCTTCCTTCCTCCTCTCCGTCCTGTCCTCCCTCCTCCCTCCCTCGCACCCTCCCTCCCCCTCCTCCTAATTCGTTTCCTCGTCCTCGTCATCCTTCCTCTTTCTCCTCCTCCTCCTCCTCCTGCTCCTTTTCCTCTTTCTGCTCCCCCCTTCCTCCTGCTCATCCTTTTTATCATTGTCGCCGTCCTCCTAAGCACTCTCAAGCCGGATTTGCACATCACATAAACCGCGATGCACATCACACTTGCTAGTGCTCATGCACGGGAACGCCTCTTTGAGGCCCCCCGTTAGCCGAGTCTATCCGAGGCGACCCCGCGCACCGAAAGAGCGACCACTGTTGCGAACGAGCGTCGGGGCAAGCTCAGACGGGCTGGGCGAGGCGACAGCCTGTGGGATCTGGCGTTTCCGTGCAACGTGCGGTGCGAAACGCATGGGTAATCAGATAACAGAAACGGACGGCAACACGCAGACGGAGTTCGCAGTGTCGGCGCGCCGGTGCCAACGCGAACTGATCCTACCAGCCCTCTGTGCGCAGGTGGTCTAAGGAGTTGCCACTTCCAACCCCCTTTTTTCCCCTCCCGGGAGGGGCTTATCCTTACTTCCTACGATTAGACACCCCCACATCCCCACCTAGCCGGCCGATACCAAACCCGCCGTCCTAACTGACGAAAGACAACACAAGCTCAATTGTGTTCTCGCCAACATGTCGTCGAGTTGCGAAAAAGTGCAGCAGGAATTGGACGGAATGAACATCGTTCGGGTAACCCTAAGCGGGTGGTCGCGTCCTACCCATCAAAAAACAATTCAAAATCAACGTTTTTCTCGTCAGCATGGACTCTCTTGTCGTCGACGCTGCGAACAGTGTGGCAAGAATGGGACGCGGCGCGCATCGCGCGCGGACGCCTGGCCAACCCTACGCGGGACCTCCGTTTTACCTGTCAAAACACACAGAAACGTCGACGTGTTCCTTGCCAACATGTACTTTCTCCTCGTCGACGCTGCGAATCGCGCAGCGGGAATGGGACGCGGCGCGCATCGCGCGGGGACGCCTGCCCGGCAACATTGACGTTCTTGTCGTCGACGCTGCGGCCCGTCGGGTTGAGGAGCTGGGCGGGCGGCAAGTCAGAATGCCTCGAGCAAGTGCGATTCAAGCAAGTGCCTCAGGAGACCGCCAAGAGGTCGAAAAAAACATCCAAGAGGCTCCTGGGGGGCAACACAAATATTGGTTCGCATTTGGTGTTTGAAGAACTGTGAGGTTAGCACCTACTTGTGTTGACCATGTTCCAAACCGGAAGATAGATCCAACAGGCCCTCAGGCGCATACCAGAAAGCTCCCAGGACGCACCTCGAATTCCCAAAGGAATTCTCCTCTTCCTCCTCGGTTTCTCCCTCCCTCCCTCTCTCCTTCCCCTCCTCGTCGTCCTCCTCCTTCTCCCCCCTCCATGCGCGGCAACAGCGAAAACGAGTGGCGGTGCAACACGCGTGGCTGGAATGAGACGCGGCGCACTTCGCGCGCTGGACATGTTGTCGCCGACGATGCAACATGGAAGGCCGGAGCGAAGCGCGGCGTACATCGCGCACGGTTTTTTTTCTTGTCGACGTTGCTCAATACGCGGCAGGAATAGGACGCAGCTCATGTCGCGCGCTGAACGTTGATCCGCCCATGATACAAGATAGGCGACAGGCGTCGGACGCGACGCACTTGCTTCTTATGTTGTGGGAGGGCGGCGGGAGTGGACGGAGCCTTCTGGCTCGTTCGAGCTGGCTAACTTGACTCTAACCCCGAACCCTGGCTCTAATCCCTAACCCTTGCCCTAAGCCCTAATCCAACCCCTTAAAACCCTTACCCTAACCCCCAGCCCTGCCCTAACCCCTGCCCTAACACATAACCCCAACCCTAACACCTACCCTAAAGCCTAACCCT